CATATGAAGGCAGTAATGAATCAGAATAGTTTGACATTTGAAGAATTGACTACAATATTTACTCAAATTGAGGCTATACTAATTTTGAGGCCAATAACTCCAGTCTCAACGGACTCCTCAGATTTATCGGCACTTACGCCTGGACACTTTTTAGTAGGCGCGCCCTTAACGGCGATTCCAGAACCCAATCTTGAGCAAATACACCTAAATCGCTTATCGCGCTTTCAACTACTATCTAGTATTATACAAGGCTTCTGGAAGCGTTGGTCAAGAGAATATGTTTCTAATTTACAAGTTAGACAAAAATGGAAAGAACGTAAAGAAAATCCTAATCTTAAGATAGGTGCTCTTGTATTGCTACGAGATGATAACGCCCCCCCGCTTCAATGGAGATTGGGTCGCATAATCGAGCTCATTAAAGGACAGGATGGACTAGTTCGGATGGTGGAATTGAAAACCCAGTTAGGGTTAACTCAACGAGCGATTCAGAGAATTAGTGTATTGCCATTAGAATAAATATTTTTTTTGTATTTGTTTGTTTTTTGTTTTGAAAGTCAAGCCTTTCAAGGCGGACAGGATGTCGCGGAGCGCTAAAGGTGTGTAGAGCGAGAGATCGATAGATCGATAGATCGAGTGTGTGTGGTAAGAGCGAGAGAGGTGTGTAAGTATTATTATTATTACTGTGCTGTATTAAAAGATAGGATGTAACGGCTATGTTTCGAGTTGTTGTATAAAGAGAATAAAAAAGGCGTTCAACCAAAGAAAGAGAAAGTTATATATTCATACCCCCAAAGGTTGGGATACATAAACCATGAATCAATCACCAACCATTTGACTTTATTAGATTTCTTTTTATAATAAAAAGAAATATTATTTTAAGACCAATTCAACCATGTGTGATAAAGTTATTTTCCAAAGTACCATTTTTGAGAAATAATTAAAAACGCCTCTATACGCGCGGCATCCGTACTCCTTCACGCAGCACGTTCACAATATTGCATATATTCGCATAAACAGGAAGGAACGATGTAAACATATCTATTTTCGGAACTTTGCGAACATCTAGTCATAGTTTGTATCACGTACAGCTAGACAGCATTTACGTAACGTCTTCATGATAACATAGTATCAAGATCGAAAGTCGTGCATTATATAATTATAAGACCAAAAGTGCAGAGTATACGTCACGCTCATATGAATTACATTTATTGTTTGAAGTACAAATTGAATTAATATCTTGTAAAATCGTATTTCTTTAGTGCGGTGTTGCTTGAATTTAAAACCAACAAGAGAAATTAAATCGTAAAAGAATCATAGACGAGAAACGATTGAACGTAATAAAGGAGTAGGAGAATATTGGCAGTAGGATTTGTACATAATGCCCAGCAATATGAAATGCTGTGCTACGCGAATGTCATGGTCAGTTCAGACATCGTCAGAAATCGTATTAGTAACATCATGTACCAGTGTATCAGATGCTACGATTTTGTAAGAATATATTTAAAATATTTAATATTTATATTCTTCGTATAATTGTATTTTTAGCTTGTAAACAGAAGGTTTGTTTTCTGTTCCTGCACTGGTTGTACTAGTTCAAAAAGTGTACATTAAAGCGTTTTCTGTTTCCAAAATGGCGTCAGCGACGGTATTCTTTCTTCCAGTGCAACAGAACTCAGTGCACGAGTTCACTGTACTGGCTGCACCAGGTCTGGAGTTAGTGCAAGCAGTACAAGCACAAGTGTACACTAGTTCAGTCACAGAAAACAGATCTTGTACAAATAGTGCGAGAATTGGTAATTATTTAGAAAACACCCTTCACCTTCAATTTCAGTGAAATTATGCTCATTTGGCGCGTTTTTGTAAGAAATGAAAGAATCTGACAGTAAAATGTAGTGCCTAATCCCGCGAATCGAGATATTAAGCGTTGAAGTTGATGACTATTGAGGTTAGGAAATCTGTCAGCTGCGAAATATCGCGATGAAAGCATGTGCTGCAATCACATTTTCATGCTTTATGGCTACAAGTGCATACGTTTTTTCAGTAACTTGCTTCTACAGCAATATATTAACATTTGTTCAATATTATTCAAATCGTCTCCCTTTCATCGTTTAGGAGTTTACAACTTTTCGCACATAGCAAGAACAGAGCAAGCTTTCGTTTTGAATAAAAATGCATCGAATGAGCCTAATTTCATTAATTGAAGGTAAAGTAACGATTTTAAATAAATACAGACTAAAATACGTGTACATAGCGCTGCATTAAGTCGGTGTGACACATTTCCTAACCACAATGTCGTCACCTTTTTAGCGCTTAATATCACAGTTCGCGGGACTGGCATGACATTTTACGGTCAGATTTTTTTGTTTCATGCAAAAATGCGACAAATGAGCATAATTTTATTAAAATTGAAGGTGTGGGGCGTCTTCTAAATAATCCGAGAATTTATGAGTAATAAAATGATAAATATATGTAAATAATAGCAAGCCTACATATAAAAACATTTTGTGTCATCATTATCTTTAATTAAGCATTTTTTTAAAAAGAATTGCATTCATTTTCATCACACGAATCTAACACTTTTATGTAAACGATATGGGACGCCATTTTTATTTTGCACTAAAACGTTTTTTATTCTTTGCCTGCACTCTTATAGCGTATTTCACTGGCAGAACTGGTGCGCACTCAATGCACTTTAAAGCTGTTGTACACAAATCGACATAAAAA